CCCAGCTCAAATACAGTTAGGCAGAGAGAAAGAATTCTTTCTTAGCCTTTTGTTCTATTCAGGCCTTCAGTCAAGTGGATAAGGCCACATTGGGGATGGGAGTCTGCTTTTCTCAGTCTACCAACTCAAATGTTAATTTCCTCCAGAAATACCCTGACAGACATACCCAGAAATAGTGTGTAACCAGTTATATGGGCACCCCAAAATTAACCATCACAATGGGCAGTCAGATGATCTGCAAATTTGTTTCTTCTTTACCAATTCTTAAATTTTCTTTTTCTTGGTTTACTGTACTAGCCAGGACCTCCAAATACAATGTGGAATATAAATGGTAATAGAAAATATCCTTTTTCTTGATCTCAAAAGGAAGGTTGTCAGTGTCTTGTCTTACCATTAACTACGATTTTATATTAGCTTTTTTTTTTTTTTTTTTTGAGATGGAATCTTGCTCTGTCGCTCAGGCTGGAGTGCAGTGGCGTGATCTCAGCTCACTGCAGCCTCTGCTTCCCGGTTCAATCGATTCTCCTGCCTCAGCCTCCTGAGTAGCTGGAACTACAAGCATCTGCCACCACACTGTCTAATTTTTGTATTTTTAGTAGAGACGGGGTTTCACCTTATTGGCCAGGTGGTCTCAAACTCTGACCTTGTGATCCCCCCCGTCTCAGCCTCCCAAAGTGCTAGGATTACAGGTGGGAGCCACCACACCTGGCCTATTGTGGATTTTTAGTGTATATCCTTTATCAAATGAAAGAAGTTTACAAAGAGATTGTTTGTTTGTTTGTTTGAGACAGAGTCTCACTGTCACCCAGGCTGGAGTGCAGTGGCACGTGATCTCGGCTCACTGCAACCTCCACCTCCCAGGTTCAAGTAATTCTCCTGCCTCAGCCTCCCGAGTAGCTGGGACTACACGCACCTGCTACCACGTCTGGCTAATTTTTTGTAGTTTTGGTAGAGACGGGGTTTCTCCATGTTGGCCAGGCTGGCCTTGAACTCCTGACCTCAAGTGATCCACCTGCCTCGGCCTCAGAAGTGCTGGGATTATATGTGTGAGCCACCGTGCTGGGCCCACAAAGATATTTTATCATGAATGAGTGTTGAATTTTTTTCAAACGACTTTTCTACATATATATTGGGATGGTCATATTTTTCTTTTTTTTTCTCTCTCTTATTTTTGAGATGGAGTCTCACTCAGTCAGCTAGGCTGGAGTGCAGTGATCTCGGCTCACGGCAGCATCTGTCTACTGGGTTCAAGCAGTTCTCCTGCTTGGCCTTAGCCACCCAAGTAGCTAGGATTAGAGGCCTGTGCCACCAACCTAGCTAATTTTTATATTTTTAGTGGAGATGGGGTTTCACCATGTTGTCCAGGCTGGTCTCGAGCTCCTGACCTCAGATGATCCACCCACTTCCGGCCTCCCGAAGTGCTGGGATTACAGGTGTGAGCCACTATGCCCGGCTGTGATAGTATAATCTTATTTGTATACATTATGGAATTTAGTTAGGTGATACTTAGGCTTTTTTGTTTTTCTGGATTCATAAGTGAAAATGGCCTATAATTTTCTTTTCTTTTAGGGATGAGGTCTTGCTCATTGCCCCAGGCTGGAGCGCAGTGGCACCATCATGGCTCACTGTAGCCTTGACCTTCTGGGCTCAAGTAATCCTCTTGCCTTAGCCTCCTGAGTAGCTGGGACTACAGGCACATGCCACCATGCCCAACTAATTTTTTATTTTGGAGAGATGGGGTCTTGCTGTGTTGCTCAGGCTGGTCTGGAACTCCTGGCTTCAAGTGATCCTCTGACCTTGGCCTCCCAAAGTGCTGGGATTACAGGCATGAACCACTGCCCAGCTGAAAATGGCCTATAATTTTCATCTTTCTTTTTGAGTTTTTATATAAAGGCTAGTCCCAAAATAAATTGGAGAGTTTATCTTTTTTTAAAAAAAAATTTCTAAATTTTCGCTTAAGATTGTTGTATTACTTCCTTTATGTTTGATGAGTTTGTCAGTGAAGCCAGGTAGACCCATATGATGGGCTATAATGCAAGTCTCAACAAATTTCAAAAGATTGAAATCATAGAAAATTTATTTTCTGGCCAGGCATGGTGGCTTATGCCTATAATCCCAGCATTTTGGAAGCAGAGGTGGATGGATAGCTTGAGCTCAAAAGTTCAAGACCAGCTTGAGCTCACAAGTTCAAGACCAGCTTGAGGTCAAGCCTATAGTGAGCCATGATTGCGCTACTGCATTCCAATGTGGGTGGCAGAATGAGACTCTGTCTCAAAAAAATTAAATAAGTAAATAAAATGAAAAAGAAAGTATGTTTTCTGACCACGTGATTATTATAGAAATCAATTTTAAAAACCTTTAAAAATATTTGCTTCTAGATTCTTAAGGTGAAAGAAGAAACCATAATGGAAATTAGAAACTATACTCCACCATTCTTATCCTTGGGTTCTTAATCTACAGATTCAGCCAACCTCAGATCAACAATATTTGGGAAAATAATGGATGGTTGCATTTGCACTGAACACATACAGACTTTTCTTTTGTCATTATTCCCTAAACAATACAATATAATCACTATTACATAGCATTTACATTGTATTAGGTGTTTTTTGTTTTTGTTTTTTCTTTTTGAGATGGAGTTTCGCTCTGTCACCCAGGCTGGAGTGCAGTGGCACGATCTCAGCTCACTACCAGCTTCAGCTCACTACCAACTCCACCTCCCGGGTTCACGCCATTCTCCTGCCTCAGCCTCCCGAGTAGCTGGGACTACAGGTGCCCACCACCACGCCCGGCTAATTTTGTTTTTGTATTTTTAGTAGAGACGGGATTTCACCGAGTTAGTCACGATGGTCTTGATCTCCTGACCTCATGATCCACCCACCTTGGCCTCCCAAAGTGCTGGGATTACAGGTGTGAGCCACCACACCCAGCCCATTGTATTAGGTGTTATAAGTAACCTAGAGATGATTTAAAGTATATGGGAGGATGTGGGTAGGTTGTATACAAATGTTACGCCATTATATATAAAGGACTTGGGCATCCATGGATTTGGGTATCCACAGGTGTCCTGGAAGTACTTTCCCACAGATACTGAAGGATGACTGTATTTTGAACTGGATGATTACAAAAATATTCCATATGAAAATATGAGTTTTTACAAAAGTAGTTTTAGAGAAAACATACATATTAGAAAAGAAAGGTTGACAAAAATGAGCAAAGTGTCCATCTCAAGAAGTTGGCAAAAGAACCTAAGAAGCGGAAGAAATAATGAAGATTAAGCAAAAATAAATGAAATATAAAGCAAACATAAAATAGGATCATAAAAGCCAAGAGTTGGTTCTTTTAAAGATTAATAACATTGATAAACCTCTGAGATGCTGATCAAGAAAAGAACAAACACACAAAAACTAGTATTAGGAATGAAAGGAGGGATTTTACTATAAATCCTATAGACTTACAAAATATGAGGCTATAATGCACAATTTTATGCTATTTTTTTTTTTGAGATGGAGTCACCGAGGCTGGAGTGCAGTGGTGCGATCTCTGCTCACTGCAACCTCTGCCCCCCAGGTTCAAGCAATTCTCCTGCCTTAGCCTCCTGAGTAACTGGGATTACAGTCACGCGCCACCACACCCAGCTAATTTTGTATTTTTAGTTTCACCATGTTGGCCAGGCTGGTCTCAAACTCCTGACCTCAGGTGATCCGTCTACCTCGGCCTCCCAATGTGCTGGGATTACAGGCGTTAGCCACTGTGTCTATGCTAATTTTTTTAAACTCTCATTTTGTTCAGGCATGGATCCCTTAGGAAATGGCAAAGTCTAAATCATAGGCTAATCATTTTTTGGCAATGGTCGGTTTAGTGGTAGGCATGTGATCTGATGTTAGGAAGAATTCTATGGTAAATTTTGAGACTTCAAATGAAATGGTTAACTTCAATTCTGTGTTCTTTGTGGGGAGGGTTTTAAATTACTTTTGCTTAACTATGAGGCTATTCAGGTTATCTATTATTGTGTTAGTGCTTCTGATTTCATGGCATAAAAATTTAAAACAGGCTGGGTGTGGTGGCTCATGCATATAATCCCAGTACTTTGGGAGGCTAAGGTGGGAGGATCACTTGAGCCCAGGAGTTCAAGACCAATCTGGGCAACATGGTGAGACTTCATCTCTACAAAAAGTTTTAAAAATTAGCCAGGTTATGGTGGCACACACCTGTAGTGCCAGCTACTTGGGAGGCTGAGGTGGGAAGGTCACTTGAGCCCAGGTCTGCAGTGAGCCTGGGTGACAGAGTGAGACCCCGTCTCAAAAAAAGAAAAAAGAAAGCAATACTTTTTTATTATTTCTTTCAACAAATATTTATAGGACACCTACTGTATGCTAGGTACTATTATTTACCATATTTCTTATATCCAATCAGACAGGATTATTTTTTAGGAGAAAAATTTAGAAACAAAAACGGCTCATTCCTAGAAGGATACAGCTGCTTAATAAAAAGATAAGAAAAAAAAAAAAAGAAAAGAAAAAACGGTAGGGGGCTCAGCATAGCTGGTGGTGGCAATGCTATTGTGAAAGCTGAGTAGTGCGTATTTCACAGAGCACCTCTGTAATTTGTAAAGGAGTATGGTTTTTCAGAGGTACCTTTATTACTGGGATTCATGACCTGCATGGACTTCAAGTAGGTTTGTTGACTTCAGGGTATCCACAATTCCTCTGAAATTGTATCGAGTAGTTTATGTGTATATGCTTTTTGGTGATAGAGAAGAGAGGGTTCAATGACTTTCCGTAGATTTTTCAAAGGGTCCAAAAATATTTAAGAACCACTGCTCTGTGGGTTAAGAAAAGTTTACAGAGACCAACAAATAGTTTTTTTCTTCATTTTGTGTTTTATGTCTGTTTTGAGTAACCATTATAGTAAAATATTAATTATGTGTAAGATTCTCTTTGACTTTTGTTCAATTTATATTATTTTGCCATTACTTTAACTGATAACTTTTTTTAAAGGTTCAGGAACAAGTGCATCCCACTCTCTCAGCTAATGAAGAGTCTCTCTATTATATTGAAGAGCTGATTTTTCAGCTGCTTAATAAATTATGCATGGCCCAGCCAAGGACTGTTCAAGATGTAGAGGTAAAAATTATGTTGTCATTTCAAGAAGTCATTCAACCACTGTATGAATTAATTTTTGTATCTATATCATTCTAAATTGTTGTGGAAACTAAAATCATTGAAATTATGCATGAGATATATGGTCAGTTTGTTTTTGACAACAACATCAAGGCAGTTCATTGAGGAAAGGCAAATTTTTCAGAAAAAAAAGTCCTAGAACAACTGGGTGCATTTATGAGGGGAAAAAACCTTGAAACCTATCTCATGCCGTAGACAAAAATTAATTCAAAATGGATCATGGCCTTAGACAACAGCTAAACTACAAGATTTCTAGAAGAAAATTCTGGAAAATATCTTCATAATCTGGGGTTAGGCACATGTTTTTTAGAGAGGATTCAAAACATAGTACTTTATATTTAATAATAAGGCCAGGTGCGGTGGCTCATGCCTGTAATCCCAGTACTTTGGCTGACTGAGACGGGAGAATTGCTCGAGCTCAGGAATTTGATACCAGCCTGGGCAATATAGGGAGACCCCGTCTCTACAAAAAGTTTAACAATTAGCCAGGCCTAATGGCATGTGTCCGTAGTTCCAGCTACTCGGAGGCTGAGGCAGAGGATTGCTTGAGCCCAGGAAATCAAGGTTGCAGTGAGCCATGATCATACAACTGCACTCTAGCTAGGGTGAGAGAGGGAAACTCGGTCTCAAAAAAACAAAACAAAGAAGAAAATAGATGAGAAATTAAAAAGATGTAGTCATAGACTAGTGGAAAACGTAGAGCTTGAATCCAGAATATATTAAAAACTACTGCAAATCAATAATGAAAAAGACACTTTTCTCCCCTAAAGGGGCAAAAGTCTTAAACAGAAACATGTAAAAGAAGATTTACTAATATTCAGTAAGCACATGAAAAGGCGCTGAAGTTCGTAAGTGATCAGGGAAATAGAAATTAAAACCACGATGAGATACTGTTTCCCACCCACTAAAAAGGATAAAATTAAAGACTGATTACACCAAATGTTGGTGAGAATGTAGAGCAGCTAGCTCTTTCTGTCTTTTCTTTTCTTCCTTTCCTTTCCTTTCCTTTCTTTTTTCTTTTTTTTTTTTTTTTTTTTTTTTTTTTTTTTTTGAGACAGGATCTCGCTCTGTCACCCATGCTGGAGTACAGTGGCACAATTACATCACAGCTCACTGCAGCCTCAACCTCCTGGGCTTAGGTGATCCTCCCTTCTCAGCCTTCTGAGTGGCTGGGATTACAGGTGTGGGCCACCATGCCCAGCTACTTTTAAATGTTTTTGTAGAGATGAGTTTCCCTATGTTGCGTACGCTGTTCTCAAACTCCCGGGCTCAAGTGATCCTCCCACCATGGCCTCCCAAAGTGCTGGAATTACAGGTGTGAACCATTGACCCCAGCCTCAGCTCTGTCGCCCAGGCTGGAGTGCAGTGGCGTGATCTCGGCTCACTGCAAGCTCCGCCTCCTGGGTTCATGCCCTTCTCCCCCCTCAGCCTCCCTAGTAGCTGGGACTACAGGCGCCTGCCACCGCGCCCGGCTAATTTTTTTGTATTTTTAGTAGAGACAGGGTTTCACCGTGGTCTTGATCTCCTGACCTCGTGATCCGCCCGCCTTGGCCTCCCAAAGTGCTGGAATTACAGGTGTGAGCCACTGCACCTGGCCTAACTATAACTCTTAAACATTGCTAGTGGGAATATGAAATGGTATAATCATTTTGGAAAACTGTCAGTTTCTTATAAGTTAAATATATATCTAGCATATGACCCAGTAGTTCTGTTCCTATTTGACCCTAGAGAACGAAAATATATTCACAGAGACCCACACATGAGTGCTAAAGCGGTTTAATTCAAAATAACCAAGAGTTGGAAACAAGTCAAATTTCTGTCAACAAGAAAATGGATAAATAAATGTGGCAGATTCATAAAATGGAATACTAGTCAGTAGTAAAATTTTAAAAATGAACTATTGATATGAGCAATAATATAGCTGCCATTCATAAACATTATATAGAGCAAAAAAGCCAGACCCAAATGAGTACATATGTATAATTTCACATATATATGAAATTTAGAAACAGCTAAAGCCAATTGAGGTAGAAATCAGAATGATAGTTGCCTGTGACAGCTGGAGATCAGGATTATAAAAATGTTCTCAATGAGACCAGGCATGGTGGTTCATGCCTGTAATCCCAGCACTTTGGGAGGCTAAGGTGGGTGGATCACTTGAAGTCAGGAGTTTGAGACCAGCCTGGGCAACATGGTGAAACCCCATCTCTACCAATATTACAAAAATTAGCCCATTTGGTGGTGCACACCTGTGGTCCCAGCTACTCCAGAGGCTGAGGCACAAGAATCACTCAAACCCAGGAGTTGGAGGCTGCAGTGAGCCGAGGTCTTGGTGCCACTGCACTCTAACCTGGGTGACAGAGTGAGACCGTCTCAAAGAAGATGAAAAAAAAAAATGTTCTCTGTGTCAGTTGAGATAATGGTTACACAGACATAAGCATTTCTAAAACTCAACAAATTGTACATTTTAAGATCTGTGTATTTTACTGCATATAAGTATTACCTCAGTAAAAGATTAGTGTAAATTTTGAGGACATTTGCTCATTGATTTAAAAAAATGTATATGTATGTGTGTGTATATATACATATCTCTCTGAAAAACTATGTTTAAATTAGTGCTAAAATACTTGTTTTGCCTTGGTTACATGGAAGTATTTTTGGATTTTTAGCAATATCTGTTAGGGAAAGTTTTACTTCTTTTGTATAAAAGCACCCTGTGCACATAAAATTAATATTAATATAATTTGTATTCTTTTTCTCCTGCTAAAAACAAAACAAATGTCTTAACAGTACAGCTATCAAAAATTATTTTTGTTTTTATTTTTTGAGATGGAGTCTTACTCTGTCACCTGGGTTGGAGTATAGTGGTGTGATCTTGGCTCACTGCCGCCTCAGCCACCCAGGTTCAGGCGATTCTCCTGCCTCAGCCTCCCAAGTAGCTGGGACTACAAGCGTGTACCCCAGGCTAATTTTTGTATTCTCAAAAATTTCTTTTATACTCTACTGTTTACATTTCCTTTTTTTTTTTTTTTTTGGAAAATTTTTTCTATAAGCAACAACTTTCTTTCTTTCTTTTTGTGAAGTGGCATGATCATAGCTCACTGTAGCCTTGAACTCCTGGGTCCAAGTGATCCTCCTGCCTCAGCCTCCCCAGTAACTGGGACTACAGGCATGTGTCACTGCGCCCAGCTAATTTTTATTTTTATTTTTGTAAAGACTGGGCCTTGCCGTGTTGCCCAGGCTGGTCTTGAACTCCTGGTCTTCAGTGATCCTCCCTCCTCAGCCTTCCAAAGTGCTGGGATTACAGGTGTTAGCCACCGTGCCCAGCTATAACAAATTTCAGTATAAAGGGAAATCTTAATTTGTAGCAATTGAACTGTTAAGATTTTCCAGGATTCTTGGAATTAAAGCATTTTTCCCCGTGTTCTCTGCTGCCAGTTGTTTGGGTTTTCTTGTGTTTTGTTTTAAGAGACAGGGTCTTGCTTTATCACCCAGACTAGCGTGTAGTGACAGGGTCATAGCTCACTATAGCCTTGAACTCCTGGGATCAAGCAGTTCTCCTGCCTCAGTGTGTGCAACCATGCCTGGCTAATTTTTAAATTTTTTTGTAGAGACAGGGTCTCCCTACTTGCACAGGCTGGTTTCATACTCCTGGCCTCAAGGGATCCTCTCACCTCGACCTCCCAAAGTGCTGAGACTTAGAGGCATGGACCACCGTGCCCAGCCTCTGCTACTAGTTTTGAACATGAAATAAATACACTGAAAGCATACTTTTCAATAGCTAAATTTGCTAAAATCTGAGACTATAATTGTAAATATAGGAGACCCTGCTAAATTAGAGTTTAATTCAGATCTCAGTAGTTCTTTTTCATGCCAATGAATCACTAATTAAATTAAAATTAGATGAACTGCCTAGGTGCAGTGGCTCACACCTGTAATCCCAGCACTTTGGAAAGTTGAGGCGGACACAATCACTTGAGCCCAGGAATTTGAGACCAGCCTGGGCAACATGGCAAAACTCTGTCTCTACAAAAAATAGAAAAATTAGCAAAGAGTAGTGGCATGTGCTTGTAGTCCCAGCTACTTGGGTTGCTGAGGTGGGAGGATCATTGGAGCCTGGGAGGTGGAGGTTGCAGTGAGCTGAGCCGCCTCTGCACTTGCACTTCAGCCAGAAGTGAGACAAAATAAGACCTTGTCTCCAAAAAAAAAAAAAAACCAAGATGAACCACAAAGGCTAGGATTGTTTTTGTCAAGGTATGTATTTTCATAAGCCATTCTGAGCTCTCTAACCCACTTCATCTTCCAAGAGATACATGATCCCTTTTATTTGAAGCTCTAAGATTAGAGTGGCTATATACTAATGATTAAAAATGAATGAACAATTTTTGCTCTGCTAGGTAAATAGTTTTAACTCTAGAAACCTAATTTAAAATCATTAATACACTATTTCATATTTTCTTAATCTTTCTTATATATCCTATGTATTGTTTTTTCATTTTTCCAATTCACCTTAATTATGTTTAAAGCTTTCTTTTTGAATTTTGCCTTTTTGTTTTATCCATGAAAATTATGTGGAAAAATTTTGATAGTCCTGTTGACCTTTTTTTTTTTTTCCAGTTGGGGTCTCCCTCTCACCCAGGCTGGAGTGTAGTCGCATGATCTCGGCTCGCTGCAACCTCCACCTCCTGGGTTCAAGCGATCCTTCCACCTCAGCTTCCCAAGTAGCTGGGACTACAGGCATGCACCACCATGCCAGGCTAATTTTTGTCATTTTTAATAGAGATGGGGTTTCATCATGTTGCCTGGCTGGTCTCAAACTCCTAAGCTCAAGTGATCCACCTGCCTCAGCCTCCCAAAGTGTTGGAATTACAGGCGTGAGCCACTGTGCCCGGCCTGACCTTTTTTTAAACCAAAAAATTTATTTATTACAGGAATCAGAATGTATTGTCACTATTATCTGCTAGCATTAAGAATAGTGATCAAGTTGAATTTTGTATGAATTTCCTATTTACAAACACTTTTATTAATACTACAATGGTTCTGCTATGATTGAGCAGGAGCGAGTTCAGAAGACCTTTCCTCACCCAATTGATAAATGGGCCATTGCTGATGCACAATCTGCTATAGAAAAACGAAAAAGAAGAAATCCTCTTTTACTGCCTGTGGACAAAATCCATCCTTCGTTGAAGGTAACAAAAGATTAAACATTAGTTGGGGGGTGTTCTTTATAACAAATAATATTTTATTTCTATATTTATAAAGCATTAATGTAGCATGGTCTGTGTTAGTGTGTATATGTGCGCTTGCATGTATATACTTGTACATATGTGTCATATAAATATGTATACAAAATAATTATAGTCTGGTGAAATTTGCTTTTCAAACAATATTAAAATTAATAGTGATAATGCATCAGTATTATTTTGTGGCTCTTTTTTTTTTTTTTTTTTAATAGAGACAGGGTCTTGCTGTGTTGCCAAGGCTGGTCTCAAACTCCTGGGCTCAGGCGATCCACCTACTTTGGCCTCCCAAAGTGGTAGGATAAGAGTCATGAGCCATCATGCCTGGCCCATTGTGGCATCTTCCAATGACTGTTACTCTGACTGATTCCTATGTAGTAGGCCATGATTCTCAGCCATTTGTTGATTAAGAAAGTGTATAATGTCAGAAGCTACTATGAGTTCAGAGCAGAACTGTTTTTAAAATTAATTTGTATTATTACAGATTATTTTTTATATACTGGAAAAGTGGGCTAGGACCTAGTTTGCCTACTAGATGCATATTAGTGCATAGGGCAAAATATGCTTGATGTATATGGATTTTAAGAGTTTTGCAGCAAATTCAAGCACCCCGCCCCCCTGCGCACTCCCCCACCACACACACACACACACACACACACACACACACACACTTCCTCTCCTCCCCTCAGTAGAAACTACTGTAATTAGGGGATACTGGTTTTAAAACAGGGTCCTTGAAGATAGCAGATATTTTAATATTTGTCAGATGAGTTTTGGTTAATGTATTAGGAGGCTTTTAGTGGAGTGCAACCCAAGATCTCTAAAAGGCAGAGTTGTTAGATTGATAAAAGGCAGAGTTGTTAGATTCGATGTCTCTTAAAAGAAGAAAAGCCCCCAATTCAGGGACCAGAGATTCATTTTATAAACTACATTTAGACATATAGTTAATAGAAAGTTTTTTTATAAGCAAGGATGTTAAATAAAAATTTTTAAAGTGTTTAATACCTGACAGTGCTACATTTTGCAATTAAATTATTTATTCTTTTCACAGGAAGTGTTAGGGTACAAAGTGGACTACCATGTGTCCCTATATATTGTGGCTGTACTAGAATATATCTCAGCTGATATTTTAAAATTGGCTGGTAATTACGTTTTTAATATCCGGCATTATGAAATATCTCAGCAGGACATTAAAGTGTCAATGTGTGCGGATAAGGTAAGTGTTACAAGGTATTTAAACTTAACTTGAATAGCAACTATACTCATTTCTGCCTCAATCTTTTTGTATACATTATTAGATAAGTAATTTTTATAATTGCTAGTACTGGAAGAGAGAAAAATCCTGCCTTTACAGAGTAACCATGATATTTTCCAGGTTTTTAAGCATATGGCAGGATGGGGATCTCTTTTTTTGGTCAAGAATCTTTTACTTACAAGAAAAAAACATCTAAGGCCTCAAACCAATTTAAGTAGTTTGAGTTCTATATTTTCAGAAAGAGAATATATAGAGTTCTACTCAGGTACTTTTAAGTGTAAGTAATTTTGAAGACGCTACTTTAGTTTCACAGCTTAGCTTAGTGAGGCACAGGGAGAGAGAAAATTAGGCTGAATGCTGAAGTTACTCCCCTCTGATCATTTTTTTGTTTTTATATCTGTCTTCTTCCCTGGCTGTAAGCTACTTGCGGGAAGAAATTGAGTCTTTCATGTTATTCTGTACTCCTTTTCTCACCTTCTTATTTTTCTTCCTATTTATTTATTTATTTGAGACAAGGTCTCACTTTGTCACCCAGGCTGGAGTGCAGTGGCACAATCTCAGCTCACTGCAACCTTTGCCTCCCTGGCTCAAGCGATCCTCTTATCTCAGCCTCTCGAGTAGTTAGGACCACAGGCATGCATCACCACATCCAGCTGTTTTTGTGGGTTTTTTTTGGAGAGATACGGTTTCACCATGTTGCCCAGGCTGGTCTTGAACTCCTGAGTTCAAGTGCCTACCTCGGCCTCCCAAAGTGTTAGGATTATACACATGAGCCACTGCACACACTGAAGCTATAACACTGAATAAGATTGCAATCCTTGTATTAGAAGGTATTTATTTTACTGCAAAATAAAAAGAAACATAATTACAGAACAATATGATTAAAACTATTATACTAATAAGTCCGAGGTACAGTGGAGGAAGTAATGAACTCTAGCATGGGTGAGGCCAGAAAGACTACAGAGAAAATGCCTAAATGAAGCTCTCTTAGCGTGAACAACCTCCAGGACCTAGCACATGTCGGTGGTTCTCACCCTTGACTGCACATCAGAATTAATAGAAAGCTTTTAAAGAATGCTGATGCCTGCATATCACCCCCAGATATTTAACTGACTTGGATTGGATCTCCAAACCTCAGTGTTCTTTGAAAGCATTCCAGGTAATTCTGATGTGCAGTTATAATGACTGAGACCCATTGTACGATTCCATAATTTCAGAAATGACTTTTCACTTACATTGTGGTTGCAATTCCTTGTTATCTCTATTTTGACTTCTAAAATTATGGCTACTTTTTTTTTTTTAACTTTGAAAATATCTTAGACTTATAGAAAAGTTGAAAGTATAACAAAAAGTACGCCCTTGCCACTTGAACCATATGAGAGTAAGTTGCCAACATAGTGTGTCCTATAAACAAGAACATTCTGCTACATTACCACAGTATGACTGACAGTCAAAATCCAGGAAATGAATACATTTGATACATTTTACCATCTAACTTTCAAACATCATTCATGTCTTGTCACATATCCTAATGATGTTTTTACCAAAATCATTCATTCCAGAAGCATATATTGTTTATGTGTCATGTATGTTTATCCTCTTCAGTCTGGAATAATTCCTCATTCTTCCCTTAACTTTTTTTTTTTTTTTTTTTAAACATGACAAAGCAGGCCAGGCATGGTGGATCACACCCGTAATCCCAGCACTTTGGGAGGCTGAGGCAGGCAGGTCACTTAAGGTCGAGTTCAAACCAGCCTAGTCAACGTGGCAAAACCCCGTCTCTACTAAAAATACAAAAAAAGTTGCTGGGCATGGTGGCACATGCCTGTAATCCTACTTACTCAGGAGGCTGAGCCACGAGAATCATTTGAACCCAGGAGGCAGAGTTTGCAGTGAGTTGAGATTGGGCCACTGCACTCCAGCCTGGGCGACAAAGCAAGACATTGTTTCAAAAAAAAAAAAGATAGTAAAGTTGACTTTATTCAAGGGAGGCCATGGCAATAGGTACAGGGACCACTGCAGTGTAATCCCATGGTTGGGAAGAGAGACATTAGAATCAACTCTCCTCCCTTAAGTTTTATAACCTTTACACTTTTGAGGGTTACAGGTCAGTTACTGTGTAGAACGTCCCTCAATTTAGGTTTTCTCTGTTGTTTTCTCTTGGTTAGAATCAGGTAATGGTCTTCTTTGGCAGGAATATCATAGAAATTGTGCTGTGTTCTTCTCATTGCATTTTCTCAGATGGCACACAGGCACATGATTTCGTTGTGTCTCATTAGTAGTGGTGATGTTGACTGATTACTTGATTAGGGAATTATCTGCCAGGCTTCTCATCTGTGAAGTTACTCTTTTCCCTTTTGTAATTAATAAATGAACATTTTGTGGAGTATTTTGAAACTGCGTATCTTATTCTTCATCACACTCAAATTTGTTTATCTTAATATGGACTAATGAATTATTATTTTTTTCAATGGGTCGTAATCTGTTCCTTCATTATTTAGATGTTGCAGGCCAGGCACCATGGCTCATGCCTATAATCCCAGCACTTTGGGAGGCCGAGACAGGTGGATCGCTTGAGCTCAGAAGTTTGAGACCAGCCTGGGCAACATGTCACTACAAAGAAAAAAAATTAGCCAGGCGTGTGCTTGTAACTATAGTCCCAGCTATTTGGGAGGTTGAGGTGGGAGAATCACTGGAGCTCGGGAGATTGAGGCTACATGAAGCCGAGATCATGCCACTGCACTCTGTCTCCAAAAAAAAAAAAAAAGTTTCGGTTGTTCCAGATTTGGTTATTAGGAGCCCTAGTTTGGTTTTTCTGTTCCTGTCTATTTGAGCACTTTCTTTTCTTTTCTCCTTCCTATTTATTAATTTATTAAATTATAAATTGACAAATTATAGTTGTATATATTTATGGAGTACAAGGTAAGGTTATGATTACGAAGACAATGTGGAATAATTAAATCAAGTTAATTAACATTTATTCAAGTACTTATTTTTTGTGGTGAGAACATCTGAAATTTACTCTTAGGTAGTAGAATGATGGTTATAAGGCTAGGAAGGGTAGATGGAGTCGGGGAAATGGGGATGGTTAATGGGTACAAAAATATTGTTAGAATGAATGAGATCTAGTATTTGATATCTCAATAGGGTGACTACAGTCAACGATAATTTATTGTATATTTTACAACACTTAAAAGAGTATAATTGGATTGTTTGTAGCACAAAGAAAGGATAAATGCTTGAGGTGATGGAGACTCCATTTTATTCTGATGTATGCATTATATGCCTGCATTTACTCCTTAAATATATACACTTACTATGTACCCACAAAACTGTCTTTTGAAAATTGAAATGACAAGAAAATTTACTTTTTGCAATTTTGAAATGTAAATACATTATTATTTACTATATTCACCATACTGTGCAATAAATCTTACAAAAAAGACCTGATTCCTCCTAATTGAGGTTTTGTCCCCCTACCCTGCAGCCTCTGGTTACCACATTCTATTCTGCTTCTGTGAGTTTGTTCTAGATTCCACATGTAAGTGAAAACACATGTGCATTTTTTGTTGTTGTTTGTTTGTTTTTTGTTTTTTTGTTTTTGTTTTTCTTTTTTGAGATGGAGTCCCACTCTGTCGCCCAGGTTGGAGTGCAGTGGTGTGATCTCAGCTCACTGCAACCTCTGCCCCCCAGGTTCAAGCGATTCCCCTGCCTCAGCCTCCCAAGTAGCTGGGAGTACAGGTGCCCGCCACCACGCCTGGCTAATTTTTGTGTTTTTAGTAGACGGGATTTCACTATGTTGGTCAGGCTGGTCTCGACCTTCTGACCTCGTGATCTGCCCGCCTCGGCCTCCCAAAGTCCTGGGATTACAGGCGTGAGCCACCAGCTTGTTTGCTTTTGAGAGCTTGAGTCTCCTTCTGTCACCCAGGCTCACTGCAGCTTCAAACCCCTGGGCTCGGGCAATCCTCCTGCCTCAGCCTCACAAGTAGCTAGAGCTATAGGCATCTGCCACCATGCCCAGCTAATTTCTAAATTTTTGTAGGAATAGGGTCTCGCTATGTTGCCCAGGCCGGTCTGGAACTCCTGGCTTCAAGTGATTTTCTTGCCTCAACCTCCCAAGACACTGGGATTACAGATGTGGGCCACTGCACCAGGCCATAAACTATTTTTTTTAATAAGTCATTCCTTTATTTGAAGCATTTTTCTGTGTCCTAAATCTCCACCTTTTGAGAGTTTTAAAAAATCATGTGGCAGGATTTTCAGATCCCCTTGTTATATTGCTTTTAGACTGATTTCTAAAACTGAAGACAATAGTCCAGATTTGGTCTGAGCAACAGAGTATATTGAAATGCACGTACGTATCCTTTATTCTATATGCTATTCTTTAATAATTTCAGCATTAATATTTTGGCACCATGTTACTCTGTGTACTTACTGAGTCTGCAGATTTCTAAACTCCCGAGGACTGTTCCACGTGAAGTACCATTTTGTTATGTCTTTGATTTCTCCAACTTGTGCTGTTGATTTTTTGTTGTTATTGTAAGAATGAACGTGAATTTATCCCTAGAAAATTTCATACTGTTATTGAGGCTATGTTCCAGCATATGTAGATATTTTAAAAATTGAATTTTCATTCAGCATTTTAGGTACTCTTCCCACGTTTTTGTAATGTGTACAGATCTGATAAACCTTGAATTAAAATTATTTAGTAAAAATGTTGAAAAGGCCAGGTGCCTTTGAATCTGGGAGGCAGAAGTTGCAGTGAGCCGAGATCGTGCCACTGCATTCCAACCTGGGTGACAGAGCGAGACTCCATATTATTTTATTTATTTTTTTTGTTGTTGAGACGGAGTCTTGCTCTGTCGCCGAGGATGGAGTGCAGTGGCATGATCTTGGCTCACTGCAACCTCCGCCTCCCAGTTTCAAGTGATTCTCCTGCCTCAGCCTCCCGAGTAGCTAGG